GGGGGGGAGAGGTCGGTAGGAAGGAGCAGGGCCTGGTGGAAAAGGGGCGGGGCGCGGTGCGAGACAAGACAAGCACCCCCTCCTTCCATGTAACAAAAATAAAATAAAATACAAAGGACACACCAAAATAATAAAACAGCGCAGACTAGTCCGCTCGCAGAGCAGCTGCCTCCTCCGCCGCGCCCGCCTCTTTCGCGACAAAGGAAGGGGCGTCTTTCTGCTGCCGCCAGCTCTGCAAGTCAAGGGAGCGGGGATTCCACGGGGGATCCCTCGCGTCCCACGTCCGTCCAGCGAGTGAACGTCAGCTCTCTCCCTTCCCCCCTCCTCCCCTCCCTCAATTCTCGCTTGGCGCGAAGTTCAAGGCCGTCGCGTCGCTGGTGAAACTGCAGCTAGCTATATTACAACTCATATCAGGCAGCATATAAGCTGCGGCTCATCCCTTCAACACGTCCGTCACACAATATAACGCCGTCATAGCACCTCGGTACCCCCCACCCCCTGCCAGCAGCGCGCGCGCGCTACCGCACCAAACGCCACCGCAGCGCCCCGTGCACCTCCCTCCTGACCTATTGGCGCCAAAGCCCGCCTGCCCCCCCCCTTTTCCCCCAGTCAGCCCTTTGTTACTGCTGATGGAGTGAAAACGCCTCGCGTCACGCGAACCGATATCCAACACCCCTCCCCACCAACTCCCGATACCATTCCCATCCCCCACCCTATGAGTTTGGGTTCTCGGTCCTCTATAGGTCACCCGCCTCCCCGAGCCTTCTTAGTAACGTAGGTAAAAACCGCCCTAAGTGTAAATTTGTAAGCCCCCCCTAAAAAAAGAGGCCAATTGATGGCTCTCTTAAACTCAACTGGTACCAGTAAATTATACCAAAAGAGTCAGGGTTTGTGCGGCTCATATGGCGTGAACGTTTTCGTATGCTATCCTCATCAGAAAGACTCCAGCCAGAACAACGTTCTAGGAGCATATATCAAAATGGAATATACAACTCTCTCGAACTACATAACCATTTTGTTTTGACCGTTCCTGTCTTTTATTGTACTCAATGTACTCAAACTCTTGTAACAATTTTGTTTCCTTGTTTATACTGTGCAGTTAGTAATTGCAGAAAAGTTTGGGTGTAGGGGAGGGAGGGGGGCTGATATAACTAACGTTCTGTCGGTCTGTCAGTAGGTTAATAAGGCAGTCCG